CTACCTTTTGAACCACAGAGCTACTTTCCGCTTTTTCTGGGAAGTTTATTGGAGATAAGAGTGGCAGGAGTTCGGGAGGTGGGGAGCGAAAGGATGGTAGGGGAAAAACAAAGGAGGGGGTAACAATGTTTGATTGGAAATATACTCATTACCTTACTCATGTAACTGTAACCCCTCTGTACAGTCTCTTTACAATGAAAAGTAAAAAAGTCTTACATGCTTTTCTGCCCAGACTGGCTTTGAACTGTGATCCTTAGAACTTAGCCTCTTGAGTAGCTAAGATTATAGACATTATCTTTAAATAGTTGTACAAAGGGGTTTCAACATGTCAATTTGTGAGTACAATGCATCTTGATCAGTGTTACCCCTTCCATCATTTTTTCCCCTTCTATCCCACCCCAACCATGCTCTCAAATTTTCTAGTTACATAGGTGTACTTTGAATATTATGGCTGCATTTGCCTACTGTTTCTCTCCTCTCTGCCCCTCTCCCCTTCACCCCTATCACCTCAGATAAAATATATTTCAGGTTCCTTTTGTTAACTGTTCAGAGGGTTACCATGAAAATCCACTCTTGCATATACCATACTTTAGTCTTTTTTTGATTGTGTATATATTTAATTTGTATGTGTGTATGTGTGTGCGTGCACATCAGTACTAGGGCTTGAACTCAGGGCCTTGAGCTCTTGCTCATTTTGTCTACTCATGGCTGGTTCTTTACTCCGTGAGCTGCACTTCCAGTTCTTCAGAGTCATTTCCTTTTCAGCTCTTTTGAGTCTCTCACCACCTTCCACCACCGCTGATTATGGTAACACTATCATGTGTTGTGTAACTGACATATAATTGAATTAGAAACTAGGGGTTCAGACATGTTAGAATAAATTATAGAGCTAATGAGTGTTATGAGTGTGTGTTTCCATGTGTCTTGGGTGTTTCCATGTGTCTTCTGTGTGTGCTTCTATGTGTCATGTGTGCCTATATGCTGGGAATTGACAACAGGATTTCATATGCTAAGCTACGCACCCCACCCCTCATTTCTGGATTTTAGTTGCACTGTTTTGAGGCTTGCTAGATATTTTCTTTAAAGAGTAGTCTTTTCTGCAGTTTGCCCTTCCTATGTTTATATTTTCTTCCTGTCTGAACATGTGCTGCTTTTTCCAGTCTACTTTCCCTGGTACCGCTTTACTCTCCTTTGAGCATTCCCTTCCTCTTCAGAAGCTTCTGGATTTCAGCACCCTTGTCTTTAGTTCTCCCATCACACCCGTGGGAATGGATGAGTTTCCACACACATTCATAACACTTTCAAACACTGAGAAGTGCCCTGACTTCTCTTTTTTCCATTATACTTTCAGACAGACACATTTCGCTTCCTGTGGTATGCTCCCTAAATTTTTGTTTATTTTGGGGTGGGTACTGGGATTTGACTGTAGTGCCTTCTGCTTGCTAGGCAGGCACAATACCACTTTTGCCATGCTTCCAACCCTTTTTGCTTTATTTATTTCTTCAGAGAGGGTCATGTTTGTGAAAGTGGGGTCTTGCTCACTTTGTGCCAGGGCTGGCCTCTGACTGTGGTTCTCCTTTCTGAGTGCCTGGGATTACAGTTACACCCAACTTATACAAACTTTTTTTAACCTGGATTTTAAGTGACTTTTGGGATCAAGGGGGAATGTACTTTTGATGAAGTTTTCATTTAGGACATTTGAGTATCTTATTTTTAAATATTGTCTACATATACTTTAGTCTGGTGATCCTCAGTTGAGCTTACTTCTAACTATTATTGCTGACATCCTTTCAACATATTCACTTGTTTGGACCTAAAAAAGTTATATAAGGGTCATAAGCAGATCTAAATTATGATTTACAAATGAGAATTTTCATTAGAAAAATGTAATCCTCAAAAATGTGGAGACAAGCCAGGCACTGGTGGCTCAAGCCTGTAATTCTAATTACTCAGGAGACTGAGCTTTGAGGATTGCTGTTTGAAGCTAGCCCAGTCAGGAAAGTCCATAAGACTCTTACCTCTAATTAATCATTTAAAAATGGAAAATGAAGCTCAAGTGGTAAAGTGCTAGTTGTGAGCACAAAAACTTAGGAACAGCAGTCAGGCCCAGACTGGTTCAAGCCCCAGAATTGACACACACACACAAAAAACCCCAAACAGACCCCCAAAACAAAAAAGAAAAACATGGATATTGTTTCTAATTAACTTCTTACCTAATGTAGGTATTTAAAATATATACATATATGTGAATATACACATAAATTATATAATTACTTCAATTCTAAAGGCCTAAAAGATTTAGATGCTTCTGTGTACGGGTTGTTTCCTCCTTTCCTTTAAAAAATTAGAATCTTATTCTGATAGTCTTATTTTCTTCACTGCACTGGAGATTGATTCCAGGACATCATACATGTTCAGCAAGCAGATCATTTTTATATTTCATGTTGGACTATGCAAATATATACCTAAATATTATTTTAATTTTCTCCATATAGTCTTTTGCTCGTGATATGTTGTTCTTATATACCTTAAACATATAGCTATATGTGGACATGTGATTTTTGTGCTCATTTCAATGTAATATTCAAACAAACTCATTTGGAAAAGAGTGGAATATGCACAGAGGCTTGACTTGTGTTTAGTGTGTGTAGAGTATGTGTCTGTGGTATTGTTTATGAGCTGAAAAGTCTCTGGACATTTCCACCGTGGTGCTAGCCTGTTGTGAAGGAAGGAGATTCATTAATGGGGTGTGATCTGTGTTCTTGGTAAGAATGATTGACAGTGTGTAATTAAATAAATAAATAAATACCACTCCCTCCCCTCCCCCCCAAAGGCTAACCACTTATACACAGACTACAAATCTTTTCAATGAGAAAGGCAGTCAGGCCTAGTGATGCACATATCTTAAGAGTCAGAGAGGTAAATTAACTATGCAAGTCCAAATGCAAGGAACTCAAAATTGCAACTTCTACTAGCCAAGTGTAATACTAACTGCCTAAGTATTATCAAAGACTTCACTGGTGAACGTAGAATTCTTGCATCAGGGCTTTGGTTAATGAGTGGGCAGTTTGTCTGAGTTGGATGGTGTAGCCTATACCATGGTGACTGGTGAAATGCTGTGTACACTGGAGAGCTGACTCTAATACTGAAGCCTTTCACCTCTTGTCTCTCTTTGAAAATGAGCTGCGCACTGGGTGTTGTTCTCAGAAAGTGAATTTAACTCAAAAGAAGGTATTTTACACATGGGAAAATTGAAGAATTCACTTACCTATTATAGAAGAGAACTATGTGAAAAACATTATTATAAGTAATACAGTCATAATTTTCAAAGATAACGTTTTTAAAGTATTATTTTGGGTATCTAAACTTTAAGCATTAATCAGTATTTTTTATCTTTTCTTTATCTTCCTTTAATTTTGTACCATCTCTTAGAACCAATGGCCAAGGCACTACTGAATCCAAATTGCAATGCTGTTAATTACTTTATGGAATGTAATTGCATAATTAGAACACTTGATGTTTGGAGTCTTTCACTTAATTTTTGAAAATATGATGTAATCTGTTAAAAATTAATATCCTTAGTTCTTGCAAAGGATAAAAGCCATCTTATGATTCTATTCTAAAGCCTTAAGTTGATACCAGCTTCTGGAGAAATAGACAGTGGCTATTCCAGTTTAACTTAGGTCCTTACATACATGGCTTCTTAGGTTAGTAGTTTGTCTTTAACTAAAAGGGCTATGTAAGCTATTAAGCTTTATGTTCTCACATACATATAAATCATCTCAATTTTTATTGTCAATGTGGTCTTTAGCAAATCCTCATAGTTACTACCTATTGTGTTTTTGATTTATTTAAAAAAAATTGGGGAGCTGGGTGCTGGTGGCTCATGCCTGTAATTCTAGCTACTTAGGATTGATATCTGAGAATGGTGGTTCAAAGCGAGCCCAGGCAAGAAAGTCCATGAGGGCCTTATTTTCAATTAGTAACAAAACCAAAAAGTGAGCTATGGCTCAAGTGGTAGAGCACTAGCCTTGAGCAAAAAAGCTCAGGCCCTGAATTTTATACACAAACACACACACACACACACACACACACACACAACACACACACACATAACTGTCTCTGTCACACACACATGTGAATTATAATAACCTCTTGTTACTTGTACTCATCAATATTCTGATTATAGATTTATATTTACTTCAGTTTAAGAGAATTCATCCTAACAGAAAGCTAACTTATACAGAAAGAAAATAAGTTTTTCCACTCATTGAACTAGTGTCAGACTTAAGTAATTTGCTTGAAATATTTAGTTTTTTCCCCCCTAGCACTACTAGGTCCAGACACTTCCTGTACTGCATAAAAGTTACTTGACAATTACCCCAGACATTTGTTCTCAGTAACTAGGTACCTGATATGTCAGATTTCACTGTACAAAGGAAAATATTCTTCAAGTTCATGACTTCCATAATAAAAACAATACTAAAGGAAATGCTAAACTCATAACATTTAATTTGATCAATAATGTTACCAATTACTGAGCAAATGGTCAGTTTACATCATGACAAACAGCTGTGTTTTTATACACACATTTTAAAACACAGGTTGTTTTTTATTGACTGTGGACTGCCCTCTAGTGGACTGAACCGTTCTTCTGAAATAACCTGTCTGATTTCAGTGAGTCATTTCATGGTGGAAATGATTACTGATTTGGTATTCTTGTTTTTTACTATCATAGGTAGCAAATTAATTTTATAAAGTTGCTGGAACATGTTAGGGATGATAGTCCTTGAAAGAATCAATATAGCCAATTTAAATAGTATTATATATTTATAAGAAGGGATATTAAGCTGATTTCATTGACAATTTATGTGTTTTGGTAATGTTACCTACATTCCTGTGTCAATTATTTTACATAAATTAATCAATTATTAAATGATTGGGTTAAGTTCTTTTCAATGATACATGCTACTTCTAAGATGCTTTCCTCATTTTTGCAGATGCTACAACTGTGGCGGCCTTGACCATCATGCTAAGGAATGTAGTCTACCTCCTCAGCCAAAGAAGTGCCATTACTGTCAGAGCATCCTGCACATGGTAGCAAACTGCCCACATAGAACTGTTGCCCAGCTGCCTGCCAGTTCTCAGGGAAGACAGGAAGCAGAGTCTCAGCCATGTACTTCAGCTTCCCCTTCAGAAGTGGGGGGTGGGCGTGACTGCACATCACCATCATTTCCTCGGTCAGAGATCTCAGAAAGGTCAGGCAGGTCGCCTCAAGAAGCTTCCTCTCCAAAAGCATCTGTAGCACCAGAAGAGCCAAACAAAAAGGGGCCTTCTGTTCAAAAAAGGAAAAAGACATAATGCTTGTTAACATCTCTCTCTCTCTCTCTCTCTCTCTCTCTCTCTCTTCCTTCTCTCCCCCACCTCCCTCCCCTGTTGCGAAGTCTACCTCATGCAAGTACAGGGAAACAGTATTCTACAGACTGCAGATTACCCAGGATTTTAACTACTGTTGAGTAACTGTGAGTTTTTTAAAAAGACAAATCACTCTAAGCAAATTATATTTCGCAGGGTGTCATGTTTTATGTAATTCAAAAGAGATACTATGTATGTGGATACATGCATGTGTGCTTTTAAAGGCTTTTACAGAGGACTGTAGGTATGTATATAAAGAGCTTTTTCTTTATATATGTGTATATGAATATAAGCACACACCCACACATAATTGGAGATCTCTAAGAACTAAAACTCCATGTGAAACATTTAGGATGGCTTCAGAAATAATCCCTGGAGTTTTTCTTTAAATATCAGGTTTTGTATTACATAAAAATAAAAACATGACTGTTAACTTTTGGGTGAACCAAAGGATCTCAGATCTCAGAGCTGCCAATCATATGGTACTAAAGGTTTTTTAAAACATCCAGTTTTCTCCTGGGTCTGGGATTGCCTCTTTTTCTTGATACTTACAGAGTGTTTTTTTTTGTTTGTTTATTTTTTGGGTTTTTTTTTTTTTTTGGTCCTCCTGTTAAAAGGTATTTTAACTCTACATGCCTCGGACTGCCATAAGCTTTTCTGATTCTGGGATACATACCTCTAGAAAAGACAATGAATGTGTAATCTCTGTGCTGATATTTCAGTGTTTTTAATTCTGTGTTATGATTGTAAATTACATGCCTATTAAGAGAAATGAAAGGGAGGGTGATGTATTAATGTAGTGACTTGATAATTTTCAGTGGTATTTTGATAACCATTTCATTATCATCTCTTATGTGTTCTCAGATTTTAAAGGGTTGTGGCAACAGTAGCTTTCCTTGACTAAGTCAGTCTTTTAACCATCACTTAGAGCAGGGAGCCTTCCCTATTTACTACTGAAGACCTTGGAGGAAAACTCCAAACATTTGATGGATAATTTTGGTGGCTATTTTATATTCCCCCAGGAGAGTTTTCTAACTTGATTCTAAAACAGTAAAATCAAATTGAATGAAATGCTGAGATTTGTGATGAAAATTAAGTGGATCCTCACAATTGTCTAATAAATGTGATCTGTGAATTTTACTAAAAAGCATAGTATTTGGTGACACGTAACTAGAATGACAAGCCAGGGCAGAAGTGTCAAAACTTCTTTGCCACTCAAACCACTCCGCCCCCCAGCCACCATCTACAATGATGTCATAGATGTTACCTCAGTACTTAGGTTGAAGCCTCCACACGGTGGATATTCCACGTGGACATTCAGCAGTACTGAGGATAGGGAATGCTTTTCAGATCAGTTTCCAGGTGTAGTAGCAAAGTGATTAGGTTCCATTAGGTTTCCATCATGAAAAAAAATTTTTTGGAGTTATCCTGTCTCTAGATATTAAGGGCAAATTTCTAAAGTATCTCCAAGAAGGTACCAACTAAATAACTATAAGGATTAATGTTGACTATATATATACACACACACACACACACATATATATATATATATATAATTTTATATGAGCCTATTGGTATAAGCTCAGATAATCAAAAGAAGAAACCAACATGACTCAGATGAAACTGCTGAACAGTTCCTGCTCCCTCATGCGTTCTGTCAGGGGAGACTGGTAGAGTTGTTGCTGCCTCAGCCAGCCACCGGGAGAAGCCACCCTACGCTGGCTTCCTGCTCCTGAGAACTCAACCTGAGTTCCACTACAGTGCTTGTGAGCATTTCCCCAGTACAAACTGAAATACTAGTGTGCTGGGATGCAAACCTTACCTTTGACGATATTGAATGTGATAGCTGTAGTAAGTATTTCCTTGCCTTATGTGAGGATTTCAAGCTTGCTTAAATTATGTAGACAAATCAAAGTGGCATTGCTTAATTTTAGCGTATATGATAAGAAATTTGACAGCAAAAATGAAAAATATGACAGTGTCACTTTGAAAATTCAAACCAAAGTTTCTTGACTTGATTAGAATAGGAAATTATGGACTTGAAAATTGGACATTCCCTGTTTACGAATGAAGTTCAGAGCTGAGATCAGGGGAAAAGAGTGAAACTAGAAAACAGAAACACTTGAACTGCAGACTTTATGGGTGCAATGACATCTTTTTCAGCATCTGGCCAGACTGAACTACTAAGAGCACATACCAAACCTATTTTAGGATTAAAAGTTGGGGTCTATATTTTTATATGAGAATATTGTCACTGTTACATAACATACTCAGGACAAAGAACTTTGCTCAGGGAACATACCATAAAATGTTTCTTTACAGACTAATCTACAGTCCTGCTTGCTCGAAACAAGCCAAATAACTTAGAACTTTATGTAAGTACATGTACTTGATGTTAGTAACTACCTCTGAGTTTGACATAAATCATAATCCTGCATACCACATATCAGTTCTGTTTTTATTTCACATGAAAGTCCTTTAAAGCAGAATTCTTCAACTCCTTATAAATGTGAATATCATTGATGTGAGCACATTGTACAACGACATGAGTGAAACACTCTGTTTACAGCAAAAGGCTACCTCATAGTTGATACATAGCACACCTTTATGCTGCTCCAGCCTTACACTGTCTGGTAATCCTTGGGTACAGACCTTTTATATCTATATCACACATACCAGTCCACAGCTGCACGTCTCTCCCAAACACTTGTGAACAATGAAGCATCTCATTTAGTTAGCGTCGTCTCCAAGCATTTCTTTAAGGCTGTCATGTATTTAAAGAATTATGGGAGCTCTTCAACTTGACCAAAACAGAACACCGAAGCAATCTTGTAAAATAGCCCCCTGTAGTAGAATGTAGGAAGGGGGAGCTGAAAGAGTAAATGTGTGTTTCGTTGTACTTTCCTGGGCAAACAGTGTAAAGATGCCAATCTCCTTCATTTACTGGTCTCCGCTGCCCTGCAGCCAAAGCACATTGCAGCATCCCTGGGCAAGTAACTAGCACTGGCTCACCAAGTAAACTAAAAATACAGTGCCATTCATAGCTACTGAGGGGGAGCACCAGTCTGCAGGGGTTACTAATGGTGGGCCAATATGCTTGTGAATTAAGCTGTCTCCACCTCGCACAAATGTAATACCTATAAAAGATGTTCTACCAGTCTCTTAGCCCTGTGAGCCACTCATTTGCTGCATGGCAGATTATAGTGGAAACATAATTATACTTGCATTTCTAGTGTTTGGATGTATTTTTACAATCGAAAGATTTTTACCTGCTTTTAACTTGGAAGTTTTAGTGTGCAATGGAAAGATTAAGAACCATCATGTTGTTAGCATTGGCCCACCTCCAATATGAGATGTTTTCATTGCCCCCCCCCTTTTTTTTTTGTAATTTTGGCTCAGTTTGATTTTGCACCCGTGCAGCCCCAAGTTACTGCTGGTTGTATTTAGTTTGTGAATAGAAGCTCATAAGTATTAATATACGTTGTAACATTCACTGTAAGATGAATTATACAGGACACGAGAAATCTCATTAAGTCTTAAAAGTTAATTTAAGTTAATTTATCTGTTTTCTCTGAGAAATGTTTATCTTAAATTTATATATTTGTTTCCTTTTTGGTTATAAAATCCAGGAAAGTATGTTCAAGTACAATTGCCCTGACTTTAATTCTAGATGTCTTAATGAGATTTGTGGTTAGGAAAAACCAACTTGTTGAAAGTACCAAGGAGATGTGGTGGTTATGTGATCTGTGTCCTAGTTGTTCAGTTAGAGGGAGAGATTGATAGGATTCATTGTTAAATTTTATGCTTGGAACAAAGCTGCAAAATTATGGTAAAGTATTGTCATGTGATAAAGTATTATAATATTTAATACATCTATGGCTTAACATTTGTGAGAGTTACCAGCTTGACAACAATGGTGTTGACTACCTCTTAAATCACTTACATCTGTCAAACTATGGCACCTACCTACCAAGCTGGCTTTAATTCGTACGTGTTGCTTTTTTGATATTAACAAGTCTAACCGTACTAGAGACCAAAGTGAACCTTGATTTCTGTGTATTTTTAATACAGTGTTTATCTAGCATTTTAAAATTATCCTGTATAGTATTTAGATTACCTCATTGTCTATTTTGACTTAACATTGTTTACGAGTGAAAACTTAAAAGCAAACTCTTAAGCTGTGTTTTTAAAGGACAACAAAGCGGATGCTTGGAATGTCACTTCACTTTTGTTCAGTTGCCTTGATGGACTTTAAGACTGTTTGTTTCTGCAGACGTGGGTTTTATATTCTCATCACGTGCCTAATGTCTTATTCTGTTCATTGTGGATGTTTTGAGGCAAAAGTTACTTCATTAAAAATAAAAACTGTAACATTGGCATTTATGATGGGCTTTGGACATTTTTCATGATTTATGTGATTAGTAAATTTAAAGAAATTGCTAAAAAGCCATTTAAGGAGAATTATAAGCCTGGCACCAGTGGCTCACGCCTGTAATCCTAGCTACTCAGGAGGCTGAGATCTGAGGATCACGCTTCAAAGCCAGCCCTGGCAGGAAAGTCTGTAAGACTCTTATCTCCAATAAACCACTAGAAAACCAGAAGTGGTGCTGTGGCTCAAATGGTAGAGTGCTCCCCTTGAGCTGAAGAGCACAGGGACAGCGCCCAGGCCCAGAGTTCAAGCCCCACGAACGACAAAAAAAAAGGGGGGGGAGAGAATTATACCAGTGAGCATATTCAATGGCTTTAGCATGTTCTCGAGTAGTGGTGGTTAGCATGGAACTCAGAACAAAGTAAATCAAGAAAGCAAGTCCTTGTCATCACTGGGAATTGTCCTATAGACCCAGCCAGGAATGTACAAGATTGCCAGTCAAGACATACTTACTAGTCAGAAAGAATGGCCTGAAATAAAAATTCAAAGCCTTTTGGAGAAGTCATTTTAGAATTTT